CTAATGTCTTTTGGCCACTGATGAAAAACAGTAACATAGGCCGATCAGGTGAGGTTCTGAAGCCAGTCAGTAGCTTGCTGTTCTTTTCTTCGCTGAATGGCGCACACTTCAAGGCTTGAATAACATGGTTCCCACCATGTCGGACACGAGCATGCTCACCAAAACCAATAGCTCCAGTTTGATCCTCAACTGAAAAACAGGGCACGGCTGATATTGATCCAAATAGGCAATAGGGAAGCTGGTACGCCTCACTTGTTAGATTAGTCGCTCCGTCCCGGCTCCCACCGCCACGTGTCCAGGCCGGCAAGTACACCCCAGGCGCGTTTAACCATCGTTTCTCAACACCAGATGATCTTAGTCTAAAATGTTGAAATTTAGAGCAGTAGCTGAATTGGAACCCTTCAGTTATTTTTCTATATATAGTTACAGTAAATACCAAAATGCTTTTATAGGAAAACATTTTTGACTTCTTTTTACTCAATGCTTAAAAAGGATTTTTGTGTTATTATACAATTGATATATCATGCATTCAGCTCCTTAAGGACTTTCCTGTTACGACTTTTGGTACTTCAGCTGTTTGTATTTTTTGAGATATTTAGCTTTTTCATCCATGTGACTCTCATTGAAAATGAACGGAGCTGCCTTCAACATCCTTTAAACTCTTCAAAATGTTCATAAAACTTTTTTGTATTTTTTACCTTTTGTTTTGGTTCTGCTTTATTCAACTTCTTTGTGTTAATTTCAGCTTCCTTTAGCTTTTATTTCACTGATTTTAGCTTTTTTCTGCTTCTTTAGCTATCATTCTGACATTTTCTGCTATTATTCCAATAATTTATGCTTTTTTCAGCAGTTTTCTGCTAATTTTAGCTGTTTTGTGTATTTAGCTACTTAGCTAATTTGAGCTTATTTTGGCTAAATTCATATTTTGTGATAATTCCAGCTTCTTTCAGCCTAATTCAGTAAAAATGCTTATTCTATTTCTTTGTGCCAATTTCAGCTAATCTTTTAGCTATTTAGGGATAGTTTCAGCATTTTTTTTTTTTTTTTTTTTTTTTTTTTGCTATTCAGCAAAAAAATTTCAACATTAAGGATTCATACTGCATTTTCACAGGAAATACAATTCTCTAATTTACTATATGAATAATTAAATCCTAGATAGGCAGATATGAGGAGTACATTGAGGGTCTCTGAGGGGGGCGTGTCCTGTTGTCTGTCATATAAAAGGGCTGTTTTTAATCTCCAGTGTTTAGTTTCTCCACCAGCGTGTCCGGCTCTCAGGTCAGCTGCCCTTTGTTTCATTTTTCTTCCTCCGTGAGCACTCTCCAACAGCAAAAATGGAAGCCATCAAGAAAAAGATGCTTATGCTGAAGCTGGACAAGGAGAATGCACTGGACCGGGCCGAGCAAGCTGAGGCAGACAAGAAAGGAGCCGAAGAGAGAAGCAAGCAGGTTGGTTATAAAGAAACATAATTAAAAAAAACAATTCTTAATCTTTTTATCTACCTATTAATCAATAATGTGTTTAAGAGGCCTCTAATTCCTGACTGTAACACAAACAACCACAGTTATAGATTTGAAACTCTGCAAATGATGATTTATTATCATAACAACAGATCATCACTTTGCTGATTGGTTTATAATTTTACTCGTTACAAGCATTTCTCAATGTGACTATAGATTTTTCTAATGTGACTCATTTAGCTAAAGTTATTAAAGGCTACAAGCAAGAAATATATAGACATGTGGTTACAATCTCTGAACTCTGTTTAATGTTTCGTACCGTCAGCACGAAGATGAACTTCTGCAAATGCAAAAGAAGCTGAAGGGAACAGAAGACGAGCTCGACAAATACTCTGAAGCCCTCAAGGATGCTCAGGAAAAGCTGGAGGTTGCTGACAAAAAGGCTGCTGATGTGAGTAAAACAGGCTGAAATATAAAGTAGTGTTGGGATTAAGTAGGAAACTTCTGCAGGGCTTTTAAAGGACGCCGATGCAGCTGCCGTCCCAAATTCACCAACTTACAGTAAGATAGGAACGTAAGCAATCGTGAGCTGTAACATGCAGACATATCTGATTAATGCATCAGTTTTTGTTATTTTTGTAGGAGGCATAACAACTTAAAATGACCCTTTATTATTGCGAATTTAATTTCCATCAATGCACTCTTACAAGAGGTTTAACACTATTCCAAATCAAGCAGCAGGGTTTGATTTTTTATTTATTTAGGTTGCATTAAAGGGACAGAATTGGACAAATAGTGAGCAAATAAAGCAGCTCCAGTGCATCAGTACATCTAACTAACTCTGATGGCAACAAAAACACCCAAACTTGTAAAACCTGCAATGACACGATAATTACACAAAACCTGACAAACTCAAGAACAAATGCGAAGTCATAACAAATGTAAATCTTAGTTTAAATCTTTGTTCTTTTGGATCAAGTCAAATAGTTTTAAAGTAGTTTTGCAGCAACAAAAAGAGGGTACAGTGTAAACACCTGGTAAAAAAAAAGCTGATAAACACTGGTGAAGAACTGAGAAAATACTGTACCCATTCGGAGGGTGAAAACCTGTAAGAGAAGCTTGGGTTTTTATGGGTTGGCCGGGCAGACGTGGAAAAACATCACAGAACAGGAATAAAACTGTCAGCAGCACTCCTTTTTGAACCTCTAAATGATTTTATTTTTGTTTCTAAAAAGGAAAACAATTTAATTTTATCTTCAGTTTTCTTCTCCTGTGGTGCTGATTGTGAGATGTCAAAAACAGTAAAGGGAAACAGTTGCTTACGATTATAGGATATTTTGGTTGCTTTTGCTTTTTGGATTTGAGAATAGCATACGTTTAGTTTCCTTGGCATTTAGAACAATGTGACTTGTAGTATTTGTAGCTATGATATGGTTGAACTCAAACAGAGTCCTGGGCCCACAGCCTCGTCCCAGCTTTAATGTGTTCAGTTTAAACCAAGCCTGTTACATTCCATTCTCATCGTGTCCAGAATCAGAGCCCCGACAGCTGTTGGTGGGATTCAGAGACCTATTTTGACTATGATGTCACCTGCTCAGCCTTGACTGGAAGGCTAACAATGGTTCAAGTCCATTTTAGGCACATCACTCATTCTGTCCAGGTCACTGTACAGCAGGAGATAGTCTTTCATGTGGTCCCCAGTCTCCCATTCATTTATGTTGTCTTATTCTGGTGAAAGATGCTGAAGAGTTCACAGTTGTCACTTGAAAGGCATAGTTCAGTCACATTTAAAGTGATCTTCTAATGGGTATCTCTAGTTTGTACCTTATTGTTTGTGACATCTGTTACAGAGAAAAAGGCAAAAGGGCCCAACATGGTTGGTCAGCAGCTGACTAAACAGCAGACAATCAGGTGGTGGTGTGAGGTTTGCTGTTGTGCACACATTCTATGGTCCAACGAGATACATGGCACAGAGCTCCTAGGAAACTCGTCCCGCTGCTGTACACTTCACTGAATGGGTTTCTTCCAGCTCTCCACTCCAATATCCACCATAATGGTTTATGGTTTATGTTGAGTGGGGAATCCATATGAGCAGAGACCTCGCAAATGAGCCCAATGCTCTCCCCCAAAAAGACACCAGTCTTTATTCAAACTTTTGCTTCCCTGAAGTAGTGTTGTAGTCAAGACCACCTAACCCGAGACCAAGTCAAGACCAAGACAACAGTGTCTCGAGACAAGACCAAGACTTTTAGGGTTTGGACCAAGTCGAGGCCAAGACCAAGCGAGGGTGAGACCAAGACAAGACCAAGACCAGATTAAAAAAAAGTTTCCTAAAAGATGGAGTATTCTGTACACATGTACAGTGGGGGATGGGGGGAGTATTTAGTCTCTCAAAGTTGAGGTCTAACTATGATGTCAATCACAGGCCTCTGTCATCGTTTTAGGTGAGAGAACTTGAACTATTGCTGCTGACTAAGTACTTCTTCTCTCCATTGTAGTTAACTTATTTGGTAGAGCTAATATTGATAAAATCTTTGTTTGAGGGCAGAGGAAAGAATTTTGCTACAGAGGCTCTTTGTTAACGTTAGTGATGATAAAAGTTTAAAGTTGTCCCCATTGTCTCTGAAAGTAAAGCACTGCCAAATTTACAAGTTGCTGTACCCTTTCTCATGGTTGTTGTTGTTTTATAATGATATTATTTATGAATAATGTAGCCAAATTTTTTACTTAAAATTTTGAAGACATCTTTTACCATTCCCAAAGAACCACTGCTTATTTTCCTGGATTGCTGTGTGCGAGTGAAGAGAGTGGGAATGGGTGACAAACGGTAACAAAAATACATAAATAGCAATAAGTCAGGTTTGGATTTGAATCAGTAGCTACATTTTAAATCCAATTAAAGCAAGATTGTTAACTAATAAATTGGACAATAGTCTGGCTGTTTAATGATATTTCCACAGTTGTGGTCGTGAAATAAAATTCAGAGTCCTCAATGTCCGAGACCGAGATAAGACCAAGTACAAATGCTGTCGAGTCCAAGACAAGACCAAGACCATCAAAAACTGGTCTTGAGACCGGTCTTAAGACCAAGACCGGTTTCAAGTACTACAACACTACCCCGAAGGACACGAGGTTGGAAACACTCCAAAAAGAGGTCCCCTAAAATTAATTTTCTTTGACTGCTCAGAGCCAAGCACTGGTCTAAGTAGTGCAAAAAGGTCTCTAATTCAATGCCAGAGGCATCACACAGACCATTGTCATGGAGTCCCATCACCATTTTGTGGCGGTTGAGCAACTTGTGCCCAGTTAGGACTTTGAGTGATGAGAGCTTTCCCAAACATAAGATTTGGGCCATTTATCAGTTCCCGTCCCTGTCTACAGTCCATCAGCTCCCTCCAGTGGATTGAGTGTTGACATCTGATCCAGGCCTGTACAGCAGTCCTACAGACTGTTGTTGTAATACCTACAACAGGCTCTGGTCCTTTGAAGTGGGTCTGAATGCCAGCTTCTGCAAGGTAGTCAGCTGTCTCATTACCACCATTACTTGGGCCACAAATCTGTCACTGTTAAAGCTCAACATTTCTCTGAAGACAGATTCCTCTGTGCACAGCGTCTGTGCTCCCTCCATCAATGAGTTTTTGAACATATGACAGTCTTTATATGTCTGCTTCCAGGTATATAAGCAAAGTAGTTGAAGCGAAATGCTGCCATTGCTGTCTGAGTGCTTTTCAGCTTTTACAAACATACAAGCCCTGTGACAAGTAGGGCAGGTGGCACAAAGCTGAGAACAAAACGATGAAACTTTCATCACACAATAATGGGAGCATGAAGAATTTAAATGTGGGAAGGATAAGATAGTTGTTTCATTCAGCCCTTTGTCGAGCAGGTTTTTTTGTTTGTTTTTGTAGCATGTGTTGTTTTAGATCAAAAATAAACAACAAACAAGAAAAAAAGCAGATTTCACAGGTTCGGATGGACCATGCAGAAGTCTATTGTCCAAGCTAGGCTAATGACTAGCAAAACAAGTACCTTTTTTTCAGGCTTTTAAAACAACTCATTCTCAAAAACAAGACACCGGTGTGAAAGAATGAACTGAAAAATCTACTTAATAACGATAGTTAGCTGAATTAAATGCTAAATGAAAGTCCGAAACATACAGTTCTGTGGTCATATGCGGCTCTTTGACCCCTTTGTAAGGAAATTACGTGTTCAATAGACTGAAGTCAAGTCAATATGAAAACCACCAAAGTTAAATAAAATGATTTGTAGAAGGAATTAAAACCATACTAAACCAGAATCTGGAACTGTGAGGTTTATTGCGAAGCGGAGCTGACAGGAAACCACACTGACTAAAAGCCAGGAAGTGCATCAATTTATACATGATTCTTCAATGCCTGAGTTCGCCCCCTACTGACCTACGGCTGAATCACAGGCATTCAGACAAAAGTCTCAATCTAATGTTATAATAACGTTTCAATTATGTGTTGTTTATGATTCGGACATGTAACTACTCTATATCAATCAACACATATTAGATCAAACATTATAAAAAGGAAAACCTTGTGCTTCTAACATCAGTACTAACCTGTAATAACTATAAATTTCTTCACCTTCGTTTTGGCTCTTTATAGCTTGTACAAAAAAATTTATAACGACTAATATTTATATTCGTAGCCAAAGAAATGGATCATATTAAAAGTGTTATTGCCCATTTATGTGATTACAGATCTCCCAGCAATTAGGTGTGCAAATACAATTTTAAGTCAAAAATATAAATACAAGGAGCAAAACACATTAATAATTGATTGATGTTTTGTCATTTCAAGGTGTGATACTTAATATTTTTCACAAAATAGACATGATTCAAACAGACTTGCACAATTTAAATCTTAACATGTTGCATTTATTTAAGACATAATGACTTGTGTAACCTTTATGATATGTTGAAGGGGCTAGTAAAGCCTGTAGACCCCTATTTTAAAAGAAAAGAAATTAAACTGTTGTCTGTTGTGCCTTCTTTCTATTCTACAGCTGACTTGATCCTCAGTCACTGTTAAAGAATTTCTGTCATGTGTCTCCATATAGACGGCACAGCTGTCACCAAACAAACACTTGTAGAGCAAAGATAGATTCATTCAAAGCAAGCAAGCTCCAAAGTAACGCCCACAACTTTGTAGTCAAGCAAGAAATAAAGTATTTTATTAAAAAACAGAGAACAGACAGATTTTTATGCTTGAAAAATGTTCTTCTTTGAGACCCGATGAGCTGGTATAGTGGATGAATTAACCCTGCATGTGTCTGTGCTCAGGCTGAGGCAGAAGTGGCTTCCCTCAACAGACGCATCCAGCTCGTTGAGGAAGAGTTGGACCGAGCTCAGGAGAGGCTGGCAACGGCTCTACAGAAGCTGGAAGAAGCTGAGAAGGCAGCCGATGAGAGCGAGAGGTGACGTCTGACTGTGACTTCAGTCAGAGTTGAATCACTTTGCTTGTGGGCGGCTGTGGCTTAGTGGTCAGAGCAGTGGACCTCCAACAACAGAGTTGGGGGTTTGATTCCAACAGCCTGCAGTCACATAAGCCTCTGATGTGTCCCATCAGTGTATAAATATGATTTATAAGCACTGATTAGTATAGAGAACAAGTTTTGTAGAGGGATGAAATAAAGTGTAACAGAGTGTATGAATGAGCATCCTGGTTGGACAAAAGGCACAATATAAGTACAGTCCACTTAACATTTACTTTGCTCATACATAAGCAGTGGTAGCAAGAGAGGGCTGTGTCATTACCATCAGACAAGATCAAATATTATGTGTGCAACATTGGATCACATACAAAAAGTAAGGACATTAGTGTTTCGTAGATTATTTCTTTGTTGTAACTGTAAGTACATTTGTGTTCATTAACTGAAATCATGACAAAACCACATATATACTGAATAGATTAAAATGTGAAGAGATTGGAAACATACCGGAGGTCTTTCTTCTATGTTTATACTAAAGCATGGAATGACATTCCTCAAAACATAAAGTCCATTTCAAAACTACAGCCCTTTAAGAAGAATCTTGTCTGCCATCTGCTGGACACTTTTTGTTGTGCTCATATTTAGACGTCCTATTTTGCAAATGCTGCCTTCCTGAAATTTGGTATGCTTGTTTGTCTTTGGTCTATGGTGTATAATGATGTGATTGTGATGCTGTATTTCTGAGTGTTTTGTGTGCTACAGAACAGGAACCTGCTTTAAAACAACAATTATGCTGAGTCAGGCTTGTTTTTTATTAATTTTTTCCTGTTGAATCAATAAATCAAATCAAATCAATACAACCCCAGATCTGGTTATGAGCGAAGCTTTATTGCTTAATGCTGAAGCAATAGCCTATATGCCACGAACATCCGGCCCAACACTTGATGCCACACTCAACATTTACGGTTCACGGTCAACACAGTGTTAGTGAAAGATTTTTTTCACGCAACAACGACTCTTAATGATCTCCACAGTACAGAATTAGCATATTACATGTACCAACATTAACACAGGACACGTACAGGTCCAGCCAAGTGGAAAAAATATCACTCCAAAGTGGATTAAAGCCATAAAAACAAAGGAAAGACGTGTTTATGTTACGTGTTTGTGGTTCCAGAAATTAGCATTCTTCGCTATTCCTTGGCTTCTTGTTCTGTGAATTTTTCACGTAGCGCTGTGACACTTATATTGTTGGAAAGAGCAGAGTCTGGGCTTTAAATCGATGTGCTACTTGTATGGTTCGGATCGTTTTCCTCGACGTTAGTGAACTGAAAACGTAATGATTATCAGGCGGAGGTTCTGCGGCTCTCGGTGCTCGGGGGGGGTGCTCGTCACTCGGCTCTAGTCTACGCTGTAATATACACTCTAACAAGTTTTACTTTAGTCTACGCTGTAATATACACTCTAACAAGTTTTACTTTTGCATAAAACTCATGACAAAGTCGCATAAAAACATTTCATATAACACAAATGCACGCACACACCTACCTTTGTGCCGGCTGCTGTGTTAGCTTCCTGCTAGCTGTCATGTGGAGGAGGTCTTTCCTCTCCCGGTCTTGGCAGTAAAAGGGGATAAATGTACATTTCCCTTTTACCTCCATCTTCTCATTTCTGATGCTGACTCTTGAATATCCTCAGGTTAGAAATGCCGATTACAAACACAAGCGTGAGCTTTTAAAGATAAGTTTTCCCTGTAATGCTATGATCCTCTGCTGTCACCTCCTCATCTAAAGGAAAATAGATAAAAACTAACTACTCGATCGTACCTGCTGCTTAGTGGACACAACGGCACACAACAGAACTCAAGTTTTATACCAGTAGCTCACAGATGCTTTAACTTTTATGACTTTTTCACGGACTAGTGCTAGCAGCTAATGGTAAAAACATAGGCAGTAAGCAGGGAGTGGAAGGGAGGAGCGTGGCAAGAATTTTACGGGAAATACGCCATTAATGACCGTGGCATATAGGCTATCGGAGCAACGCTGCCTGCACCCGGGAACTTCCGGTCCTTTTATACCAGAGTCTTCTGTGCCTGGTGTGCCCCCTGCAGGCCTACGACTGCATCGCAGGCCACTCTGAACAGAAATTTCTCACCTTATGAATTATGAACGGTTTTCTTATGTGTTGTAAATATGATTCAGACATGTATCTAAACTATTTTAATCAAGACATAACAATAGTTAAACAATGGATTATAAAAGTAAATACTTAAAAGGAAAACTAAGAAAATAGTGTGCTGCTTCTAAATCAGTTTCTAACTAATAAATTCCTTTCAATAAATCTTATACTATTGCCTGTTTATTTCCCTTTAAATGGTGCCACATTTGTAAGGAACATGCATTTGTGTGATGAGCAGTAGAGCTTAACATGTATTATAGTAACTGAATCAACAATCACTATAAACTTGCATTTCAATAGACACACACTGCCTGCCATGCCTTTAAAAAAACCATGCTTTCTTTTACGCAGAGGTATGAAGGTGATTGAGAACAGGGCTTTGAAAGATGAAGAAAAGATGGAGCTCCAGGAGATTCAGCTGAAAGAAGCCAAACATATCGCAGAAGAAGCCGATCGCAAATATGAAGAGGTGAGAACTTTGCTGTTGCTTTAATCCAAAGAATCCTTTTTTTATTTTGTTTTGTTTTTAAATCACCGGCCTTTTATGATAGTGGGTGATTGTGTAAGTACCTCTGTCTGCATGTGGGTGGACATTGAGTAAACTCTCAAGATCTACATCTGGAACTAATTAACCCTTGAGTCAACTGGATTCAAGATGGCTGCCACAGCTAATCTACCAGCCAACTCAAATGTGGATATAACTCACTTTTATTGAGCTGAAATTATTTAGAGTGGTACTTTGAGCACAAAAAAGATCATTCAGCATCTTTGTTTAAAACTTTTATCATGCAAGGAAGTAGAATATTTCTTTATGATTATTTTTGATTAGTAGTTTTGTTGAAAAGTTCAACAGATCCTAAAAAACAAAATTGGTTTGTCCTGCATCAGAAAAGCAGATTGTTAGATCATTCAGTTGTATTACCTGGATATTTGGGGAACCAGGCTTTGTTTGTTCTTCTATCTTGTGCCTTTACAGCCTCTCCTATTATTGGAGGTGCTAATTCCACTGGGTTTTATCACCAGTGTTAATTATAGTGGTTTACGCAACAAGATGTCTTGAAGCACAGCTGCTGTGCAGCATCTGAGCAAAAAGCTCAGAGTTAGATCTTAAATTACCAGGGTACCTTGTTCAAATCAAAGCTTTTCAGAAAAACAGCATTTTACCAGAGATCATTACCAAAATCATGCTTGCATTCCCTTCTCCTTTTGTGCTGAAATGTTAAATGAAAATCTTTTGTATGGAAGACCGAAACCGACCTAATTAAAAACAAAAGCAAAAAATAAATGTCCCAATAAATAAATACACTTAAAATGCAGCAGTTAAATTAAAAAAGGAGAACTTGTTTTATAATTTAATTGACCATCATATTTATTTTTCCAGCCTAATTCCAACAAATTATATTTAGCAAAAGCAAAGAAGAAAAACACTTACCTGTGCCTTTATTTTAAACTAAACTTTAAACTTTAAGTCAAACTGAGGCAGCACAGACATGCACAGTGGATCTGCACATGGATCCTGCTCCTTCCTGTCTGTTGACCAATAGCTGACCCAAGATGCTCCGCCCACCTTATTTGCATAATGAGGCAGAAATGCAGAATGTAGGTTAAAAACAAGAGACAGAAATATAAAAACACATGGAAATAAGGACTTGAGGGACGAAACAAATAACTAATAAAACTATTTAAGAGAAACAAATACATCTACAAGAAAAAGGAAAAACAAAAATATATACTTTAAAAAACTGTATGTACTAAAATATATCATTTGTTGGAACTAAGCTAGAAAAATAAATATGAAAGTCAACTAATGTAAAACATGAGGAAAGTTCTCTTTTTTAATTTAATTGGTGTATTTTAAGTGTATTTGGCGTTTATTTTTAATCATGTCAATTTCAGTCCTCCATACTTCATAGTTTAAAACCTGTGAATTAATAAAATGATTCTGCTAAAATATTGTAATAATTATTAAATAATGAATAAAAGTGAGAAAATAATCATTGTAAAAGTTGATTTTTCTATTTTGTATTATTGTTTGTGGGTTTACAAGAGTGGTTCCTGGCCAGATGTTAATGCTGTTTGGGGGGGGGTCATGTTATGGAAAATTTGGGAACCCCTGTTCTGACATATTAAACTCACCAACTCACATAATAGAAAAATCTGTATTGACAAGCTGAGTTAATCATGAAGCTGCGCAGTAAAACTAAGAGCACGCTGTTTGTCCTGCTGTTTTCCAGGTGGCTCGTAAGCTGGTGATTGTTGAAGGAGAGCTGGAGCGTACAGAGGAGAGGGCAGAGCTGGCCGAGGCGTGAGTGTCTGTAACTGTGTGTGGGGAAATTAAAGAGACAAAATTCAGAGCATGAAGCAAAGGCAGAGTCTGTAAGTCCAGTCTGAGACCACTACTGAAACTTGTGTATTATGAGTGTTGTTTTAACTCTGCTTAACAGTTCTTTACATATAGTTCTTCCTAAATCTACTCTGGTTAGATATCTATAAAAGATTAAATAGGATTGTGAGAATATTTTTGTTCTGAAGAGATAATTGGGTGATTTTGAAAGTTATAATAGTTAGCAGTAGTTTTTACCTAATAAAACAGTCATCAGTCAGAGAAGCTGGAGGAAGAAGAAAAGTGATTTTCAGAATAATAAAATAAGCTCTTGCTTTGTGAAGAACATTACATTAGCTAAACTTTTTGTGTTTTTAGCGTTTAGTTTGTCACTGTTTTGTCAATTGAACAATGCTAGCGATTAGCCTAGCCTTCAGGAAGACACAGCATTCGCCGTACTGAAACAACGAACGTCTCATTATTAATGTCCTGATTCTCAATAACTCTCTTTATAAAGTTTTAGATGATCTTTTCTCACTGAATGTTCATGGCCAAGGCCCTGTCACACCATAATGTTTTAGATAACATGCCAACTTATGAACATTTTGTCCAACACTGAAGATGTAGGCTACTGAAAGCCTCTTTTAAACTTAATCATTCTGTAATAATAAGGTGAATGAAAATAAAAACTAAATGTGTAATTTCTTTATAACTAAATTTTCATAATTTAGGATAAGTTGTTGAAAACAGTAAAGGACCTGAGTCTGTGGGGGATAAATTCTGAAGTGTCCTCCCACTGTAGCTCACGTCTAGCTGGACCTTGTCTTCCAACAGAGTTCAGTTCGTTCTAGTTAGAGGTGTAAGAAAATATCGATACACTGAAATATCGCGATGATTCATTTCCCGATACTGTATCGATATTCTAAAGCCCTGTATCGATTTTTTATTAAGGTTTAAAATGTCAACTTTCCTGCCAGCCGTTCATTTTTATGTTGTAGTTCAGCCTCTGACCACTAGTTGGCAGCAGTGAGCCAGCCATTTGGCTCCTCTACCTCTTGAGGTAGAGGCCATTGTTAAGTGTTGGGTGACCATATTGTAAATTAATATTAAAAACTAAAAGCTGCAAAAAATATATTTTCAAACTATTTATTGTCAAATTTAGTCTAATAATTGAAAACATGGATGAAATAAGAAATATGAAACAAATAAAATAAAATACAAACAAAGCAGAACACAGCTAAATGTATCAAAAGCATGTCTGTAACATTAGAATTTTCTGAGACAATGAATTTTGGTTTTTCATTTTTTTCCCCTGTAAGAGGTTTTTATTTAATAGAATTTTTGGACAAAAAAATCGCAATATATCGGCTTGCTTATAGTATTGCAATATATCGGGTTATATCGCATCGTGACCCCTCTGTCATGATATGTACGTATCGTATCGCCAAATTCTTGCCAATACACAGCCGTAGTTCTAGTTTCCCTTTTCTGCTTTGTCTGGGATTTCTCCCATAGACAAGGATTTCTCCTGTAGAATTTCAACCGGGCCAATCAGAGAGCAGAAGGAGGAGTTGTGAACCACAATGTTGATTTTCTGTGCTGTTTTACTCTGCCTGTAGTTTAGGCAGCTCAGTGCTTCCTCTCCTCTCAGTAGGAGATAGTTATTTACAGCACACACAATTTCTGGTTACGGTTAGCTTCTTAGCTTAGCTTCCTTCACAGTCGAGCTGGCGCTCTCTATGTCACGGCCAAACATTAGCGATTGTGTAAAATCAGATCCAGTCGTTTTAAAATTCAACAGAGTCCATTCCTTCAGCATTTAATCATCTCTTGAAAGCTGAAGGTCCAGACCCTGTGTACGAAGCAGAGTAGAAATAGGGACTGGTTTTTACCAGGCTAGCTCACGTCACATTCAAACAGAATCAGTACAGACAGCACAGTTGTCAGAGTGGCTGTTTATTTTTTTTTGTTGTTGTTGATAACGGCAGTTAATGTAACCTCCTTTAAGAAAATATTTTACCATCTTTATTAATTTTTTTTTGACTTTCTTTATCATTTTTAAAGGAACAGTTGCAATGCTGGCTGTATTTTTACACAGCCTCAGCTAGCAGATGAGGTGACTGCAGCCGCTTTCCACAAACAAACACGCCCACAAAGTTCTGACCAATCACGCGATGCTCAACACATACTGTGAGAACTAGTTCCGACTGGGGAAAATACGTAAGACAAGGTCTCAGCAGGTGGTAAAAGGTAGCAAAAATGCAGTTTTTGTCACAAATACTCAGATACCTGGTTCAATAGTTATGCCTAAGAAAGTTTAACACAGATCCCCACTTCAAAATGGCAGGAAAACAAATATAAACACTCTATAGCCTCAGGCTCAATAGCCATAAAATGATGACACTGTTTTAATAATTTAGTAACGTGTTCAATTTGTTTCACTTGGAAGCCATGCTTTTAGAAAGGACAGACATCCAGAGGTAATTTTATTAACATTTACAGGTGAAAGGTTTGTAGCTGTTGCGTCTAAGGACTTCTTCCAATTTCATTTCTAGCCTCTTGAAATTTGCCCTTTTAACCGTTGGATGACTTTAGTCTGAGCTACATTTAGATTCTCTATCCCTTCTGTTTGTCACCTTGTCTTTCTTCAAAATAATAAAGTAAATGTGCTGAGCTGGAGGAGGAACTGAAGAACGTCACAAACAACCTGAAGTCTCTGGAGGCTCAGGCTGAGAAGGTAGGACGAGACAGGCGCTTGGTATTTGGCAGGACAGACACGAGATAAACCAGAGTCCAGCTGAGTAATGCTGTCTTTTCACCACAGTACTCTCAAAAGGAGGACAAGTATGAGGAAGAAATCAAGATTCTCACAGACAAGCTAAAAGAGGTGAGTGTGAAGTAATGATGGCTTTTTTTTCTCATGGTTGACCTTGGTTTCAGAGTTTTTGTTTAAATCAATGATACCTCATACAATTATTCATGAAGTGGGTGTTCAGATGGGGTTTTTTTTTGCTTCCATCTCAGGCTGAGACAAGAGCTGAGTTTGCTGAAAGGTCTGTAGCCAAGCTGGAGAAGACTATTGATGATCTGGAAGGTAAAGAATTTCTCCTCCAGGTTGCCTTAATGTGAACTTTACAAACACTTTCATTTTGTAAACCGCACCAGAACAAGTCCGGAATTACACCACATAAGAAATGTTCAGTGATCTTAGCAAATTAAGAAGTAAATGATATTTATAGGCTTTCAAAACAAACTTTTCTTACGTCTGTTCACTCAAAAATCAGATGTAGTGGATTTGATTTAAAATGATTATGTCATCTGGTTCCACTCAGTTGAATTGATCCAAGGTAATGTATTTACTTTGTTTGCTTTAAATTTACTTCAAGTAAACATAATTTTGTAATTAAATTGTTTTTTGAGTGTATACGTGTCTTACAGAAACAGGAATATCCACAGTAAGCTTGGACCTGCTGATGATGTACAATAGGTTGCCTTCAGGCCCAGGCCGCCCTTGAAAAAGAGATCTGAGATCTCAATGGGACTTGCCTGGTTAAATAACGGTAAATAAATAAATAAAATAAATAAATGAAAACCATGCTCACAGCATGAAGCTACCACCACCGTGCTTCACTGTGGGTTGGTTTTCTGACAGGAGGCGTTGGGTTTGGGTCAGACACGCTGTTGTCCTTGAAGGTTAATGTTTAGTCCCACCTGAACCCACTGCACCATTTCCCTCGTTTTTCAGGAGTCTCCATTTTGGGCAAATCTCATTTTTAAAACAACTACTTTTTCCTTCCTGTCCTCCATGAAGCTCAGAGATTCTTGCTTCTCTACAGAAGAGCTCCTCAGCTCCGTTCTGTGTTATCTTTGGCCTTTGTCCTTCTCGGTCTGAGTTTTGGTGGACAGCCCGCTCTTGGCAGGTTTTGCCACATTTTTTCTGATGGATTTCATGATGCCCCATGGACTGTTCAGAATTTGTAACATTTATTTTTATAACCCAGCCTTGATCTGTACTCCTCCACATGTTGCCTTTGACCTGAGTGGGGAGTTCCTTGGTCTTCTTGATGCTCCTCCTCCTGCTGGCCCTCACTGCTTTGAGGTGTTGAATTGGGTTTGGATTTTACAACTTAAGAAGATAAAATCAGTTCATAACTAAAAAATGTAGGAATATAGGATCATGTGGAATAAAATCACCAAATAATATATGTTAGAGTTATGTCCAGAAGTTTATAAGTACATTTACTTTGTTATGGTACTTAAAGCGTATCTTACCCCCTGTGAAAAGATAACTCCGCCCCAAGGCGAAATTTGAAAAATGCATCAAAGTGGGTAGGGGAGGGGGGTTAGAGAGCGGAGGTGTAGCCAGGACGAGAGAACGTGACAGCTAGCATTAGCATAATTGATGCTACATGGAGATTGACCACAGCGACGCAGATAGTTACATCTCTGAACGGTCTGAGGTGGAGGATTTTCACCCCCCTCCTCACCAGAGGCAGAGAGAGACTTGATCAACTTAGCTCAGTTTWAGTAATTTTGTTGAGAATTTGTAATTTTACTAAGTATTTTTTAAAATTGTAACTTTTACTTTTATTTTACTACATTCAACCATAAAAACGACACTTTTATTTTTGTAGTTTAAAATGTAACACCTAGTTACTCATTACAAAATTAAACATGTTTGAACTCGTCATGAAAGGAGTTGTTTATGCTCTCTAAAAAATAAAGTGTTGAATTTATTTTACCAAGTTATGTCAACTGGTCCCACTAAACTGAGTTGTAAATCAATGTACATTTTTTTAAGAAAATATGTATACTGCTCAATTTACTCATCTTGGTTTAGTGGAACCAGTGTGGTTAAGTAACACTTCATTCCTTAGAACAGGGGTGCCCAAACATTTTCCCCGAGGGGGCCAAAATGAAAATCTATCCAGGGCAGCGGGCCAAATACAGCAACATAATACATGAAATACAAATACTTTTTAAAGTAAAGTCCTTTATTTTTAACGATTAAGCAGTGCAATGGCCCTCTTTTGTTTTAGTCTGTGCACTTGGAGAAAGTCTGCCAAACGCTCAAGTAGGAAAGGCTCATGGGACATTTTATAAATTGATAAAATATGAGATTTTGTGGCCTTATAAAGTGTGAAAATCATGTGTGGTTAAATCTGAACAAAATATTTCTTGTCATTTCATGTTTCATGTTTAATCCTAATAAATCAAAGATAAAGTCAGCACAATGATTGAAAACTACCTTCACTACAGCCCTTTTATAGTCATTTGACCAATGGAAATACTGCGTTTCTACCTATAGGATAATAGGTTACAACCTTGTAAGTTTGGCAGCTGTTGGTGGGCCAAATCAAATGGCTTGGTGGGCCAAATTTGGCCCACGGGCCCCACTTTGGGCTCCTCTACCTTAGAGTGTAGAAGTACTTTCCTGTCTGTTGTGAGCAATTATACAATTTTTACTTCAGTACTTTTCTTATCAGTGAAATTTATTTTTACCAGTCATTTTCTGTTTAGGTGTTTTTACTTTTACTTAGTTTTTTTTTTTTCAAGTACTTTAAAGACCTCTGGTTATGTCTCTCTGATAGCCTCTAAAACAAATAACCAATAAGTCAGAGATATTTTTTTAAAAATGCCCCACATTATCTAAAATGCTTGTTATTCTTTCCTGATAGACAAACAGGTTCAATGAAGCACCATTAAGTTACTGAGGGGTAGCGCTCAGTTTAGTTAGTGCAAATAAATATTCAAAAACAATCGCTGACTAGTAAAGACAGAGAGCACAGCTGGAGCAAACAAAAAAATACAGCATAGGCTGAAAATTCAGTTGCTCTAAAATCATTTGTTTTTGTCATTTAAATGATTACATTTCTTTATGTCAAATTATTCATTGTACATTTTTTTGTATTTTTTTTTTTACTTACGTTTTCTTGGTCTTTGTGCTTACAGATGAGCTTTACGCTCAGAAGTTGAAGTACAAAGCCATCAGTGAAGAACTGGACCACGCTCTCAATGACATGACCTCCATGTAAGAAGTGACATGTGTCAGGACTGATGACAGCTGATCAAACATGTTGGTCGAACAGGATTTCTGTACATGCCTGTGTTGAAGTCACAGTTTGGTACAGGTGCAGTGGACAAAATAGTCTTTACTAATAAAAAAGAGGCTTGTCTCAAAATAAATATTCTGTTAAATTAATAAAACAAAACAAAATGTATATTTAAAAACCTTCCCCTGACTGATACTATTTGTGTATTTCACATTAGCAGCTCTGACTCTGCCAGATGTTTTCTTCCAGCCAGGTGTGGGGATGTAGCAAACATTAATCCCCCCCTCAGAAGACCTGGATGTCCACCAATTAATCATAAGAGCCACAAGAGAAGCTTTGGAGACATCCATCAGGATTATTATTATTA